GGTTAAGGGATAGGTCAATAGAGATTTGGTGGCAATAACGTAAGTGGATATTCCAGAGAACACAGGATAGGTAAGTTCCAACAATAAGAAAAATTCATACGCATGGGTAATGTGTGACATGTTGAAATCTGGAGGGCCTTTTTTGTTCTTAAAATAAAACTTTTTTTAAAAACAGGATGGGACTAAGTTCCAAAGCACTCAGGCCAGCCTTTCAGTCAGCCTACACGTGCAGCACTCTGAACTCTTTGCAGGGGTAACAGACCTGAAGAAAAATTAGGCAACATTGGGCACTTTTTCCCAAGCAAGTTTTGAGGATCCAGGAACTTTTTCAACTCTGTGCTTCAGGCTCTGGAGTGAAAATTCTGGTCTGGGTGAAAATCAAGTAGGTTTAGTGTATATTATTGACAGACCAGAACTGGCTACATTTTATCTTTGTTGGAGCAGCAATCTGCTACTAGAATAATTTTAAGGTTCATTTTTATCTGTGTTCCTGCCATTGTCTTTGTGTACTACAGTCCTTATCAAGTAACTTGATAAAAATTACCTACAGGCTACTTCTAGTATTTATATGTAAGGAGACTTATCTATGGCAATTTGCTTATTCCATAGTAAATTGCTAAGTTCTGGAGAACCCCACAGTATTACAGATGAAATTTAAAATAGTTGGAATTCAGAATGAGCTTACCAACTGGGGGAAGTTTGTTTTTCAGACTGGAACCTATGACCAGTGGAGTTCCACAAGGATCAGTACTGCGTCCACTTTTGTTTGTTATTTTTATAAATGTTTTCTTTGAGAATATAGGAGGCATGGTTAGTAAGTTTGCAGATGACACCAAAATTGGTAGTGTAGTGGACAGTGAAGAATGTTATCTAAGATTACAAAGAGATCTTGATTAATTGGGTCAATGAGCTGAGGAATGGCAGGTGGAGTTCAATCTGGATAAATATGAAGCATTGCATTTTGGTAAAAGAAGCAAGGACAGGACTTGTATAATTAACGATAGAGTCCTGGGTAGTGTTGTAGAACAGAGACCTAGGGTTTCAGGTTCATAATTCTTTGAAATTTGCATCACAGGGTGGTTAAGAAGGCATTTAGCGCACTTGCCTTCATTGCTCAGATTTTTTGAGTATAGGAATTGAGAGTTCATGTTGAGATTGTAAAGATGTTAGTGAGGCCTCTTCTGGAATACTGTGCGCAGTTCTGGTCATTCGCTTATAGGAAAGATACTATTAAACTGGAGAGGGTTCAGAAAAAAAATTTCAGCATGTTGCTAGGAATGGAGAGTTTGAGTTACAGGAGAAGTTGAATAGGCTGGGGCCTTTTTCACTGGAACGTAGGAGGTTGAGGGGTGACCTTTATAGAGGTTTTATAAAATCACACGGGGCACAGATAAGTTGAATACCAAAGGTCTTTTCCCTAAGGTGGGGGAGTTCAAAACTAGGGGGCATATTTTTAAGGTGAGAGGACAAAGATTTACAAAGGAAATGAGGGGCAACTTTTTTTTTACACAGAGTCGTTAGTGTATGGAATGAACTGCTAGAGGAAAATGGTGGATGCAGGTACAGTTACAAAGTTTAAAAGACATTTGGACAGATACATAAATAGGAAAGGTTTGGAGGAATATGGGCCAAGTGCAGGCAGGTGGGACTAGTTTAGTTTCGGAATATGGCGTGGACTAATTGGACTGAAGGATCTGTTTCTATGCTGTGTGACTCTGACTCCTCTTGCTATGAAGGCTAAAAAACAGGATTTGCCTTCTTTACTGCCTGATGCATTTGCACACTTACTTTTAGCGATTGGTACACAAAGACACCCAGGTCTTGTTGAATATTCTCCTTTCTCAATTTATAGCCCTTCAAATAATAATCTGCCTTCCTACTTTTGCTACCAAAGTGGATAACCTCACATTTATCCACATTATATTGCATCTTCCATACATTCGCCCACTTGGTCAACTTGTCCATTTCCCATTAAACATCTCTGCATCTACCTCACAGCTCACCCTTCTAATCCAGTCATGTGTCATCTGCAAATTTTGAGGTATTTGATTTAGTTCCCTCATCTAAGTCATTAACCTGCATCGTGAATAGCTGGAGTCCTTGTTTTGATTCCTGTGGCACCTAGTAGTCACTGCCTGCCAATCAGAGAAAGACCCATTTATTCCTACTCTTTGTCTGCTAACCATTTTCTATCCATCTCAATACATTGTCCCAGTTCCATGCACTTTAATTTTACACTTTATTCATTTACATGGAATTTTGTTAAAAGCTTTCTGCAGGTCCAAATAATAGCTCACCCTGATCAACTCTACAAGTTACATCCTCGAAAAATTCCAAAAGATTCATCAAGTATGATTTCTCATCTCCATGAAGATTGTGGCTGATTCTACCTCAGTTTCTAAGTGCTCTGCTATAAAAATCCTTGGTAATAGACTCTAGCATGTTGCCTACTACCGATGCAGCTTCACTGGTCTATATTCCCTGTTTACACTCTGTCTCCCATTTTAAATAGTGAGGTTACATTAATTGCTCTCCAATCTGTAGAAATTGTTCCAGAGTGTTATGGACCAGACTAAGCCCCCTAAAAATATAGCAAGGGGATAGCCTAGACCCAAACTTTTTCTAAAAAAAAGGCAAGTATATGATACTACATTCCAGATGTGATTTGATTGGTCAGCCACTAGGCTTTAAGCAAAACACATTTTATTCTTACAGCACAGTTAAAATAAAATTCAAAAAAGAATTGGCATAACTTTAACTGCATTAAAATACTTAACAAATATCATTTAACTATTAATCAATCACCTGTTCCAGTATAGCAGCATCCCATAAACATACCCTTGGTAAAGACAAATTCAGAAAACAGAATTTCCTCACATGCTATCTCCCTTCCAGTCCAGAAGAAAGGAACACTAAAAGAAACAATCTAACAACAGAGAGAGAGCTGTATCTATCAACTTCAACAGACAACTCCAAACCTCAACTGAAAGCAAAACTATGACCATGGGTTTGTGTGAGGCTGACTCCACCACTCATACTTCTTTTGTTTAATCTTTAAAAACACTCAGGGGGCTCAAAGTTGTTTACCCACTGCTTCTGAAGCAGACATTCCAACACTGCTGCAGCAACACCGCTCTGCAAGAGAAACAGCACAGAACAAATCTCTCTTAAAGACTTAAATAACTGCTCAGAGGCCAGGCCCCATCACCCTTTATTTACCTGTGCACAGTACACTGGCTACGGCCAGCCAGCTCGGAGTCAGTCACAACTGAGGAGATTCTAATCTTCTGGTTATCTTGGTCAGCCAAGGCTTTCCTGGTTGACTGATGTTAACAACTCCATCAACCTGGTCCCAGTCACTACAAAGACAGTACTGTCACAAAAGTCTAAAGAATCTTGGAAGATGACCATCAATGCATCCACTACTTCTAAGACCAATACCCGAACTACTTTGGGGTGTAGACTATAAGTCTATGGGGATTTATTAGCCTTCAACCCCCTTAATTTCTCCAAGACCACTTCTCTACTAATACAGATTTGCTTCAGCTCCTCCCTCTCACTGAACCCTGTGTGCCCATCATTTCTAGTGCATTATTCATGTCCTCCTTTATGAAGATAGAAATGAAATAGAAATTTAGTTTGTCAGCCATTTCTTTGTACATTGCTACTACATAGGCCATGAAGCAGTGGGAAAGATATAGAAGCACAAATCTGCAAGCAAATTAGACAGTGGTTTAAAAGCTATAATTTCTTCTTTGTATTCACATGGGATGGGGGCATTGCTGGCTGGACAAGCATATATCCCCTATCCCTAGGTGCCTTTGAGAAAAAGCAAAAGTAAGCTGCCTTCTTGAACCAATGCAGTCCATTTAATGTATGGACACCCACGATGCTGTTAGGGAAGGGATTCCAAGATTATGATCCAGTGATACTAAAGAAATGACAAAATATTTCCAAGTCTGCATGGTGAGTTGCTTGGAGTTGAACTTGCAGGTAGTGGCATTCCTGTAAATCTGCCCTTGTTGTTCTAGATAGAAGAGGTCATAGGTTTGGAAGGTGCTGCTTAAGGAGCCTTGGTGAATTTCTGCAGTGCATCTTATAGATGGTATACACTGCTGCCACTGAGCATTGGTGGTGGAGGGACTGCATGTTTGAGAATGTGGTGCTAATCAGACCCTGGCAGAACTCAAATTGAGTTTCAATGAGCAGCTTATTAATCTAAATGTTTTCCCACCGATTAGGTTAAACCAATTGGTCTGTAGTTGCTAGGTTTATTCTAACATCCGCTTTTGAGCAAGAGTGGAACATTTTCAGTTCTCCAGACCTCTGACACCTTATCTGGGTCTGATGCAGATTGGAAGACCTTGGTCTCTGCAAATTCCATCCTTTGTGATGTAAACTGTGTGATATATATAAATGATGTATTTTAATATTTACCACCGATGCTCAGCGTCAGATGGCCATTCACACTGTACCAGCTGCAGCCGAAGAATAGATTGTTAAGGTTAACATCGAACTACAACCACATCCACAGCCATACCATTTTTAAAAAAGGCAATTAGAATATCATGCCTTTTAAAAAAGTATTCTGTTTGTCTATTCTTATGACTACAGTAAATAACTTCACTTCTCCACATTATGCATAATCCACTGTCTTATTGCACTCTTGCTTAACCGGTTTATCTCTTTGCGACCTTTCTGTGCTATCCTCACACTTTACATCCCACCTACGTTGTATTGTCATCAAACCTGGAGACATTACTCGCTGTCTCTTAGTTAAAGTAATAAAATTGTAAATAGATGGAGCCCCAACACTCACCCTTGTGACACTCTGTCATATGGAAAATATTGTTGTCTCTATGATTCCTATCTATTAACCAGTCCTTTATTCATGCTAATATTATTATTCCTAATTCTTTGAGACCTTATCTTGCCCACTAATCTTCTGTGCGACACCTATTGAAAATCTTTTATATCATATGTCTTATTTCTGTTCACAGAGATGTACAATTCCATCACAGAATTTGAGGAGGACCTGAAGAAGATGTGGTTTGGTCTCTACTCTAGAGCCAACAACGTTCTTGATTCCAGTGGCTTTGAACATGTGTTTTCAGGTATGCAATGGTTTTGAAAAGTCTGGGTAAACTCCTCACAGCCAATAGTGAATTTGCAGCACCTGACATTGAAAATCACCACCACACCTCGAATATACAGATTAGCTGTAGCAGCCCAAAAGCTCAAAATGGGGTTTAACAAGTTGCATCTTTACCAATCGCACACACAGTATACTTTCTCCATCAGATTCTTCATCACACATTCAGCACAAGATTCACCATCACACGCTCACCAACTCATTCACTTTTAGATTCAAAATTGTTCATAATTTTGAACACCTTATAAGGCCTAATTTTAATCTTCTCTACTCCAAAACAACAGAGTATTCTCAAAGTCCTACTTCCAAAAATAAATGGTAATGGTTTACCCTTGTCTAATTTACTACTTTGTCTTCATTTTGTACACTTCTACCAAATATTCCCTCAACCTCCTTTGTTTAAAGGATAACCTTAACACCTCTAACCTCACCATCTAATTAAAATATCCCATCCCAGAAACTATACTGGTAAATCTTCTCTGCACCCTCTCAAGAACCCTTACATCCATCTTAAACCAGACGTGGATACCGTACTCTGTAGGGTGGCCTAGTGGTTAGCGCTAATGCCTCACAGCACCAGGAACCCAGGTTCAATTCGAGCCTTGGATGACTGTCTGTACAAAGTTTGCGTATTCTCCCGGTGTCTGTGCGGGTTTGCTTCAGTTTCCTCCCATGGTCCAAAGATGTGCAAGTTAGGTGGATTGGACATCCTAAATTACAGGGTTACAGGGATAGGGTGGAGTGTGGATCTGGGTGGGATGCTCTTTTGGAGGGTCGATGTGACTTGTTGGGCCGAATGGCCTGCTTTCATGCTGTAGGGATTCTATATTTTCTGACTAATGATAAATAACAAAAGAATCTTTCCAGCTCAGAGGAAAATCAACCCTCCACTGGTTGGAGATACAAAGGATGACAGTTGTGGTTGTGGGAGACAAATTGCCTGAATCCTTAGGGCTTTGGCACAGAATTTTCAGGGTAGTGTCTTAGGCCATTCTCTAGCTACTTCATCCTGACCTTCCTTCCTTCATAACAGCCAAGTGCTAGAAAAATTAAACTAGAGTAGATATGTACTTGATAAAATGAGAGACCTCTTTCCATACTTTAAAACTCTATGATTTCATAAGATCAGATTTGAGACGTTCTCTACTGATAGCACCATTACAGCCTGAACTATTACATCAACTTTTATGAGCTATGCTTTACACTCACCAGCTTCTACATTGCCGATCACTCAGAGCTGACCAGCTATAGTTTGGTTTATTGGGGTTTGCTGTTCTCTGTCATCTAAGGATTAATTCACACAAAATTGTTTTGGAAACAGGTGAAGTGAAGAGAGGAAAGGTGTCTGGGTTCCACAGTTGGATCCGCTTCTACCTTGCTGAACAGAGTGGTGAACTGAACTATTACAGTTACAACTATGACGGGCCAGTGAGTGATTGAGCTTGAAAGAGCATTTGACCACAATCTAACAACATCACATTTCTCTCTCACATCCTTTCCCTTCCCTTCAAATCTCAGAAGGCTAATTGGTTGAATTAGTCCTTTGGTGTTCTCATGGAAAGGGGAAAATTTCTCAAGTATGAAGCTTAACCTGCTGGTGGAGGCTTCTCTGGATTGCAGCACCAATCCTTTCACCACCTCAGGAAGGATGGAAGCTCTGTAGATTGACTTTTGCTTTGACCATGTAGTCAGGTGTACTGCACCTTGGACCTCAATCTGAATGTGAACTAGATCATTTGTGTGGTCCAATCATACCTCACATTGGTAATTGCAATGCACTAGGAAAAGAGTGAAAAGATAATTTAGAGGTATCACCCCAGCCTTTAATCAACCTCTTGAAAACTGGTGGCTTCTGTGTCATTGATTGGAAACAGAGGTGGAATGCGATGAACGCAGTTTCCATGTTCCTGTCCATGTCTACTGCATTACAGACCCTGCACCGCGGGGACTCCCCAGGGTAATGTGAAAGGCTGATGATGTCACCTGATGTTGTCCACACGAAGATGCAGGTTTGTCTATGTATAGTAAGGCTGAATACCTATAGAATCCCGACAGTGTGGAAACAGGTTATTTGGCCCAACAAGTCCACACCGACCCTCCGAAAAGCATTCCACCCAGACTCAAACCTCTACCCTATCCCTGTAACCCTGCGCTTCTCATGGCTAACCCACCTTGCCTTCACATTCCTGGACACTATGGGCAATTTAGCATGGCCAATCCACCTAACCTGCACATCTTAGACTGTGGGAGGAAATTGGAGCACCCGGCAGAAACCCACACAGACACGGTGAGAACATGCAAATTCCACACAGAGAGTCACCCAAGGGTGGGATTGAACTCGGGTCCCTGGCACTCGAGACTCCCTGACGCTCCAAACTCAGAATTTACTAAGTGAGTGAATCTAGGAAATTAAGTGAGGAGAGGGTGCTGTTCTGGTCCAACAGCAAGAGCCAATCACGGTGAGACCTGAGAGCTGAAACCTGAAGGCATTTACTGATGATTGATGAGTTTTAAATATATTTAGTCTCTCTAAACTGGACGAGTAGTTTAAACTGTACTAGAGAGGTATAAGGATTATACTAAATTTAAAGTATATTTAATTGAACTCTCATACCATAAATAGAAATCTTCATTAATCTTTCTTAACTTGAAACCTACTTAGTTAAACAGAATAAGGATGGCAGGGCAGGTGACATGTTGCAGCTGTCTCACATGGAAGCTGCTGGATACCAGTGTGATCCACAGCAGTTAAAACAGCATTAAATGTCTGTTACTCTAGGAACTTTGTCTTAGAGATGATGAACTGGACTCTGAGATTCAGAGACTGATGCATAAGAGAAAGGGAAAGATTAACTGAATCCTTTGTTCCAGAAGACAGTGAGACACCTTAAGTTTGGTCGATCAGATTTGCTGCATGTTGTTGTAGTGGAGAGTGAGACTGTAAGAGAGGCAGAAATGTGGATCCAGAAGGTAACAATGGAAGAGCACTAGTCCTTGAAATTGTTCAACAAGTTTGAAGCTCTTGCAGCTTCCATGTCAAGAAAGCTGCTGCCAGATGGATAAGCAAACACCACCTTGGTGCAAGGAACCATTCCAGTGAAGGGAGTGAAAAGGAATGTAGTTACACCGGAGGATTAAATATTCAGATGAGAAGGGAGTTAAGTAGATAGATACTGTTCTCTTTATCCGAGAGCTTTGAGTACTGGTTCTGGTGTCTGCCAAGTCCCAAGTTAAGGGCACCTTCTTAGAGCTAGAAATTAACTTGAAATGGGAAGAGAAGGATTCAGTTTTGGTGCTCCACGTGGTTACCAACAATGTAGATAGGATTAAGGAAAAAAGGTTCTGTTGAGGGAATGAGCAGCAAGAGACTAAATTGAAAAGTAGAACCGTGAAAGTAATAATCTCTGTATTACTATGTGAGTCATGAGCAAATTGACATATGGTAAATAATAGAGTGCAGTGTGTGGCTCAGATTAATGTGGGAGAAATGAATGGGTTTTGATTCATCGGCACTGACAGTGGGTTTAGGGAAGGTGAGAACTGTGGTGTTGGGACAGCCTTCAATCGAACCATGCTTGGTAAATCATATGATTTGGGCTGTTGACAGGGCTTTAAACTTAACGGGGGGGGGGGGGGGGGGGGAAAGAGTTTGCATGCAGGCAAGTTTGGACAATTAAGGAGAAAAAGGACCGTGTTATTATGACTAAAGATAACCAGAGTTTAACAGGAAGAGAATAGGGAATCTGGTCAAAATGGAGACAATGGTCAAAAGACAGAATTAAAACATCTTTATTTAAATGTGCACAGCAATCCAAAGAAGATTGATGAATTGATAGCAGAAATAGAAGTAATTAGAGATGATATGAAAGCCATTAAAAGAGACCTCTTACAAAGTGACCACATTGAGAATCTGGGTATTCAGAGCTATTTGACATGTTAGAAGGGCAAGAAGAAAGGAAAAGGAGGTGAGGTCATTCTATTAATAAAGGATGAGATCAGTACAGTAGTGATTTTTTGTTTCAGAGGATCACAATGTTGAATCAGTTTGGATGAGGCTAAGGAATATGAAAGCAAAGAAGGTAGAGTGAGCAGGCTAGAGGTCCCTTGGATGTAGCTACTCCACTCCACTCCACCCCATCCTGCCTCAAAACCCAGGGGATTCAAACCTGGATCCCCAGAACATTATTTGAGTTTCAAGATTAATTGCCTAGCAATAATACCACTACATCATCACCTCCTTTAATGGCTTAGTGGTATTATTGCTAGGCAATTAATCCAGAGACTCAGATAATGCTCTGGGGACCCAGGTTCAAATCTTGCCACAGCAGATAGTGGAATTTGTATTCAATGCAAAATATCTGCAAATACGAACCTACAATGACAATGGGACTATTGTCAAAAAACCTGTCCAGATCACTAATGTCCTTCCAGAAAGGAAATCTGCCATTCTCACCTAAAATCTAGTTTACAGGTGAATCCAGAGCTGCAGAGATATGATTGACTCTCATCTACCTTCTGAAATGGCCTAGCAAGCTACTCAGTTGTATCAATTACTATGAAGTCTCAACAAAGAAATTAAACTGGCCACCTAGCACTGACCTAAGCACCAGAAAATACAACAGCAGAAAATGCCCTGTCAACCCTACAAAAGTCCTCATTACTAACATGTGGGGGCTAGCACCAAATTGGGAAAAATGTCTCACAGGCTAGTCAAGCAACAACCTGACAGTCATACTCATTGAATCATACTTTACTGACAATTTCCCAGGCGCCACTATCACTATCCTGGATATGTCCTACCAGCAGGACAGACCCAGCAGAGAGCCAAATGTCAAGCAGAGGGCAAAGTGTTGTATAGTTGGGAGGGAGTTGCCCTGGGAGACCTCAACACTGATTCCAGACTCCATGAACTCTTATGGCTTCAGGTTAAATATGGGAAAGGTAACCTCCTGCTGATTACCACGTACTGTTCCCCCTCAGGTAATTCATCAGTACTCCTCCATGTTGAACAACACCTGGAGGAGCCATTGAGGATGGCAAGGGTTTTTTTTTCTTTAATAATTATTCATTGACGGGATTTCTAGGTCATTGGTTAGGCCAGAATTTATTGCACAGATGCCCAGAAGACAGTTAACAGTCAACCACATTGGAAATGATGGCAATTTCCTTCCCTAAAAGGACATTACTGAACCAGATGGGTTTTTCCTGACAATCAGCAATGAATTCATGGTCATCTTTAGTCTCTTAATTCCAGATTTTCTTTTATTGAATTCAGATTCTATCATTTGCCTGGGTGGGATTTGAACCTAGGTCCCCAGAACATTAGAGATAGTAGGAACTGCAG